GCGCAGCGTCGAGAGCCGCGCCAGGATGACGATGCATCCCGTCGCCTCAAGCAGCTGGCTGGCGTCGAAGTGCAGCGCAGGCTGCGGGCGGGCGGGCCGGGGAGAGGGCGTGTCGGCACCAAGGGCGGTGAGGGCAGAGGGCGGTGTGGCAATGCGGCGGCGGAGCCGGGGCTGGGGGGTGGGGGGCGCAGCGGGGAGGGGGGCGGGAGGCGGGAGGCACGCGGCAACGGGAGGGGGGCGGGAGGGGGGGGGCACGGGGCAGCGGGGGCGGGGCGGGACGCGGGAGGGGGGAGGCACCGCCGCCCCGGAGGGGCGCTGCGCTGCTACGGCGGCGCCTCGGGGCGGCTCAAACTGCTGGGCAAGACCAGCCGCGTCGCCGGCGCGAAGGCAGGCAGAAGGGGAGGAAGTGGCGCCGGTGGGAGCACCCCCGGAGCCTGCTCAGCTGCTGCCGCCGCGGTCCCCCACCAGCCCGCCTCCACGCCTACCGCCAGCAGGCTGCTATAGGACGCAGCGGCAGCGGCAGCGGCGGCCCTTCCCGGCCACCGCCGCCTCCAGCCCTCGCGTCGCAGCCCCATCCGGAGGCAGCCACGCGGTGCCCCATTGCCGGGCGCTGCGAGCTGAGGTCCGGCGTCCACTCCTCCTGCGCAGTCGGCGGTGCAGCAGCCGCCGCCTCCGCCGCCTCCCCTGCGGCGACGCTGCTGTGCAAGTGCGGCGATCGCCCCCGCGGCACCTTCTTCTCCACCGCGCTTCGCGGGTGAGAGCCAAACATGACGCCGCTGTCGCCATCGTAGGCGGGGCGCTCTGACGCGGAGCGCCTGCGCGCGTTGACGTGGAACGGAGGCGACGAGACGCAGGCGAGGGCCTGCATGGGGGAGGGCGCTGGTGGGGGGGGGGGGGGGGCATGAGCGGAGGGGGTGAAAAGGGAGGCGCCGGAGTGGGTGGAGGGTCTAAGGTATTGAGAGGGACTTGCGACTCGCGGGGGCGGAGCGCGCCTGCAGGCCTTGCGGCCCGCGGAGGGCGAGAGTGAGGTAGATGCGGAACGGGCGGTTGCCTGCGGCAGTCCGACAGCAGCACAGTCAGAGTGGCGCGGGGCAGAGGAGGCAGAGGGCGCGGGCTGCCGCAGCCGAACGACGTGTGAAGCAGGCGCAGCGAGGTGAAGATGGCCTGAGAAGACGGGCACGGGGGCCTCTCCACACGCCAGTGTGCGCCAAGAGTCGTCGGACGCACTCCATGCACGTCTAGCGTGAGTGAGGTGTGTGCGTGTGTGAGTGCCTCGAACTGCGTGGGCCCGGTGCGGAGCAGGCGCTGCGTGCACTCTCCGCCCAGTCCCTCGTCGCGCAGCTCCGCGTCGCCAGCAACGAGGGTGCCACAGGTTGCGACGACCGCCAAGCTGCGCTCGTGGTCAGGGTAGTGAGGGCTCAGCGTCAAGTCGGCGTCCACGACTATGCGCGGTAGGTTCCACTTCTTGTGCCATAGCCAGGCCGCCCGCTCCGGCCAGAAGAGGAGCGGCGTTTCCAGCCGCACCCGCACGCCTAATTTTCGTCCCGCAATCACTCCCCCTTTTGCACTTGAGCACTGGATAGGGTCGATGGCGGCGCCGCCGCCGCCGTCTGCCGTGGCGGCACCGAGCAGCTGCTCGAGCAGGAGCTCTTCGAGGCTGCGCCCGCGCCGCCACAGTCGGTAGGCGGTGTACGCGCCCGCAGCCGCCACAGAGACGACGGCGACAGACAGAGCGCTTGTGTCGCCAAAGCCATCGCACCAACCCCATGCCTTCTTCTCGACCGCTGCAGGGCCCTTCGGCACATGCGTTGTGTGAGAAGAATTCACAAGGGACAGCACAGGTTCGTCCCGCGTGTCGCCTTCCCATCAATCAATCAATCTCCCGCGTCCACCCATACCGCGTGTCCAGTCCGAGCCTGACTGTTGTTCATCTTTCTACCTACCTACCTTCGACACAGGTACCAAAAGAGGCACAGCCTGTGTGAGAAGAAATACGGTTCGTTTCTTCCCAGTGTCGCGTGCGAGGGAGTTTCGTCGTAGAATTCTTTCTTTCTTTCTTACGTCCCATGCGCCATGGAGCATGGTTCCGGGCCGCCCAAGACGCAAAAAAGGTTCACATAAACGCACAACCCCGGGCCCGAAATCGCACAAAGACAGTCACGCAACACAAGGTTCACAGACCGAGCCTGACTGTTCTTCACCTTCCTACGGGGTGTGGAGGGTGAGTTGAACAGGGGTTGTGCGCCAAGCCCTCCTGCTCGGCTCCAGCCGGTAGACAAGTCTTGTCATCAACAGAGTAGATGGATCTGACCTCGGGGCCGATGTGACCAAGCGCTGGTAGCGTGGTTTTACCTCACACCCATGGTCTCACAGTGTGCCGGCAGTCGCCGAGCAGTGTCGCTCACACAAGCCGCAGCACAAGTGACTGAGGGCCAGTGAGGGCGAGCCCATCGCTGTCACAGCTGTGGCAGCCGTACAGTAGGCTGTGTCAGCTGTGCAGAGTGTGTGAGCAGCAGAGGAGCTGCTCTCCAGGCTTCTGTCGCAAAGAGCTGCATGCCACCGAAAGCGCTGTCGAGGTTCGCCGAGCGCGGCGCAGGTTGGAGGACACCGTCACCGACGAGCGCGTTGGACTTTTCACTCCGGACAAAGACGGCTACACGCACACGAGCCGCGGTCGTGTAGCCGTCACAGCGGCGAGGCGCGGGACCGTCTGTGGCGAAGAGGGTCGCGTCCTCCGATTTTGTTCAACCCAGCATCCACACCCTTTACCTTACCTAACGTAATCTTCACACACTCACACACATGCGCGCTGCGCGCTGATCTATGAGAGTTCGTCATCACGCACCTGCCCGGATCTTCACATTTTCACTGCTTTCGTTTCATGTTTTCACAGCTGCCGTCCTGGATGCGCCTCTCGCCACTCTCGGATCTGCCGGCGCAGGATGTGGCTTGGGAACAGCCGAGTGAACTCGAGCTCTTCGCCCGTCAGCGGGCTCGTCGACTTGGTCGCGAGCCAGCGCTCGATCGCCGACCGCTCGTAAGCATGCCCGTCCGCCGCCATCACCGGGTCGCTCATCACCTCGGTCGTGATCGGGCAGATGAAGTCAAGCGGCGGCTCCTCCTCCTCCACCGAGGGCGGCCTCTCTGCAGCCAAAGAGGACGACGCTTGCTCGTCGGGCGCCCGCCTCTCCTCCTCCAGCCTCGCGCTCTCCTCGAGCGCCGCCGCCAACTCCGCCTCCTCCGCCGCCGCCAGCGCTGCCTCATCCTCGGGCTCCCGCGACGGCCCAGCGCCGCCCCCGCCCCCCTTCCCCTTCTTCTTCTTGCCCTTCTTATTCTCCTTGGCGCGCTCCCCCGTCGCCAGCGCTGCCCCATCCTCGGGCTCCCGCGACGGCCCAGCGCCGCCCCCGCCGCCCTTCCCTTTCTTCTTCGTCGTCCCCTTCTTGCTCTCCTTGGCGCGCTCCCCCACCTCCTTCTCCGCCTCCTCCTCCGCCAGCAGCGCCTCGGCATGCCGCGCCGCCTCCGCCTCTGCCGCCGCTCTCTCCACCTCCCTCGCCGCCGCCGTCTCCGCCGCCGCCGCCGCCGCATGCTCCTCGATGACGCGCACGCACTCGGCGTGGCCGTCCTCCTTGGCCCACTGCAGCGCCGTCTTGCCGCTCGCACTGCGCGCCGCGTCTGCGCCCGCCCGCAGCAAGCGCCGCACGACGGCGGGGCGGTTGAAGAAGACGGCGAACATCAGAGCGGTGCGGCCGTTGCTGCTCTGCAGGTTGACCTCAGCGCCGCGCCGTATCAGCAACTCGACCACCCGCTCGTGGCCTTCGGTGGCGGCGTCCATCAGCGCGGTGCAGCCGTCGCTAGTCTGCAGGTTGATCTCCACGTCGTGCTGCAGTAGCAGCTCGACCACCCGCTTGTGGCCTTTGGCGGCGGCGCTCATCAGCGCGGTGCGGCCTTTGCTGCTCTGCAGGTTGACCTCAGCGCCGCGCCGTATCAGCAAGTCGACAACCCGCTCGTGGCCTTCGGTGGCGGCGTCCATCAGCGCGGTGCGGCCGTCGCTCCTCTGCAGGTTGATCACCCGCTCGTGGCCGGTACTGGCGGCGTACTTCAGCGCGGTGTTGCCGTTGCTGTTCTGCTTGTTGATTTCCGCGCCGCGCTGCAGCAGCAGATCGATCACCCGCTCATGGCCATTCTGGGCGGCGTCCATCAGCGCGGTGCCGCCGTCGCTGTCCTGCTGGTCGATCTCCGCGCCGTGCTGCAGCAGCAAATCGACCACCCGCTCGTGGCCATAGTTGGCGGCGCCAATCAGCAGCGTGAGGCCGCTCACGCCGCCTCTCTCGTACGTCGCGTCGGCCCGCCCGCCGCTGTCGAGCCACGCCAGCACCGCCTCCTCCTCGCCTCGCTCCGCCGCTGTCACGACCTCGTCGGAGACTGCCGCGGCACCGCCTGACACTGGCTCCGCCGCCACCGCTGGAGATAGCGTCTCCGCGACTCTCGATCCAGCCGAGGAAGCGCCGCCGGAGGAAGCGCCGCCTGCGCCTTCGCCGCCGGCTGCCGTCGCCGTGAGCCGTCCCGCCACCACCTCCTGGACGTGCTTCTTGAAGGCCTTGACGCACTCGGCGTTGCCATTCTCCTTGGCCCACTGCAGCGCTGTCTTGCCTTTCTCAGCACGCGCCGCCATGTCTGCGCCCGCCCGCAGCAAGCGCCGCACGACGGCGGGGTGGTTGAGGTAAGCGGCGAGGATCAGCGCGGTGTGGCCGTCGCTGCTCTGCAGGTTGAGCTCAGCGCCATGCTGCAGCAGCAAGTCGACCACCCGCTCGTGGCCTTGGATGGCGGCGTTCATCAGCGCGGTGCCGCCGTTGCTGTCCTGCCGGTTGACATCTGCGCCGTGCCGAATCAGCAACTCGACCACCCGCTCGTGGCCGTAGTTGGCGGCGCCCATCAGCAGCGTGATGCCGCTCACCTTGCCTCTCTCGTACGTCGCGTCGACCCGCCCACCGCCTTCGAGCCACGCCAGCAGCGCCTCCTCGTCGCCTCGATGAGCCGCTGCCACGACCGCATCGGAGACTCTCACGCCACCGCTCGACATCGCTGGCGACAGATTACCCGGCCGCACCCGCACGCTCTCGCCGCCGCCCTCGAGCGCAACCGCGTACCGGCCGCCCTCGAAGCTCCGCGCCACGCCACGCTGCCCGTTCAGCTCGGGGCGGGCAGCGAGCCCACCGAGCACGACTCGCTTGCCGAGAAGCGGCGCGTCCACAGCTGCCGCTGCCGCGCCCGAGGAAACGCCGCCCGCTCCTGCCCAGCCGTCTGCAGCCGCCGCCGCCTCCGACAAGACCTTGACGCACTCGGCGTTGCCCTTCTCCTTGGCCAGCTGCAGCGCCGTCTTGCCCTTTTCATCGCGCGCCGCCGCGTCTGCGCCCGCCCGCAGCAAGCGCCGCACGACGGCGGGGTGGTTGAGGTAAGCGGCGGTCATCAGCGCGGTGAGGCCGTCGCTGTCCTGCAGGTTGATCTCCGCGCCGTGCCGAATCAGCAGCTCGACCACCCGCTCGTGGCCTTGGCTGGCGGCCCGCATCAGCGCGGTGCCACCGACGCTGTTCTGCAGATTGACAGCAGCGCCGCGCCGAATCAGCAACTCGACCACCCGCTCGTGGCCATTGCGGGCGGCGACCATCAGCAGCGTGATGCCGCTCACGCCGCCTCTCTCGTACGTCGCGTCGACCCGCCCGCCGCTGTCGAGCCACGCCAGCACCGCCTCCTCCTCGCCACGCTCCACCGCTAGCACGGCCGCATCGGAACCAGCGCCACCGCAATGCACGAGTACACTCACCATTCGCTGGGTTCCGGCTCTGAGCGTCTGAGGGGCAGGGTGTCGCAAGTCCCAGCTGTGTACCCATACCGCGTTGGTGTCCCAGTCGTTGGTCGGACTGTGTTTCGCCTTCCCATCAATCAATCAGCTGTGTGCAGGGGCCCGCCGCGCACACAGCGGCCCAAGGGTGAATGAGAGAGCCCATGGCACCCCGGAGCTTTGTAGTGGCCCCCAGCCCCACCGGCCGAGGCCGGGCGCGCTGTGCGTGCACCAGCTGCAGCCTGCAGGCCGGAGCACGCGCGGGGGGAGGGGGGGGGGGGCTTCTACGGCCCCTTCGGTCGGGGCGCCCTTCTACGACCCCCCTGGGCCGGGGGTGGGGGGGGGGGGCCCGGGGCCCCGGGGTTTGGTTTTGGGGGGGGGG